TTGAGAACTGAGTAAATAAATTCCTTCCGCCATGTCTTTCCACCATAATGGTCTGTATGCCTCACCTTGGACCCAGAGCTGTGGAGTCAGCCGACCTTGGATGGAACTTCTGAAATCGTGAGCCAAAATGAACTTCTTCTCTAAGTTTTTCTTGTTAGTTCTTTTGGTCATGGTGACAAAAGATGGCTAAAACACTCAACATTGTACTTAAGACAAAATCCAAACTCCTCACCTGGTCTCTGAAGCCTGCCTCTCCAGCCTGACTCTCACTGAGTCTGGGCCACCTGACCCCCTTCCGCCCATCATTCCCATACCTCTAGTTTTTGTAGTCACTCTTTCCTTGACTTTCCTTAAAGGCTCCTGCTCTTCCTTTGAGTTTCAGTTCAGACAATATCCTCCATAAATCCTTTCCATGTCGCTTTTCCAAGAGGCTTCTGGCCAGTGCTCCAGCCCCTCAGCCTGTTGATTTCTGGCCCACCACTCTTCACTAACATGTATCTTTGTTTATTTCTTGCTACCCATAATCACAGGAGCCACATCTGCCTGTTTTCTACCACAATCCCAGCCTACACCACCGGTGCTCTTGGGTATCTGCTAAAGCAATGTTTTATGGTCAGGAAGAGAGAAGGGAGAGTTGGAAAGATTTCATGCACAGGGAGAGGAGTCGTTAATTTTACTGTAGACCAAATGGGCTCTTTGAACAATGGAAGGAGGATTTCCTTGAACCTTGTCAAGGAAGATACTAATGGCAATAAAAACAACATACATATCTTTTATTTGGTACTTAACATGGGCAGGGCATGGTGCTAAGCACTTTCTATTGAATCTTCACAATAACCTTATTATTATCTCTATTTTCAGGTAAGAGAACTAAGCCTAAGTAATGCTATCTGTTGTTTATCTAATATCCATTTTCCACGTCTCTACTAACAGGATTCTGAATATACTCAGCCCTAGGTGATGGAGCAAAGTATTTCCAGACTCCCTTGTAGCTCAGGGTGACCGTTTGAGCCATTTCTGGGCGATGTGAATGAAGTGGAGTCTGTTGGAGGTGGAGGTATTCTGAGAATACTTCTTCTTTCTACCTTAAAGTGGTGTGTTGTCTGGAACCATGGCAGCCATCTTGTGACCAGGAAAAGCCCAAGGATGAAATCCATCTAAGTATGACAAACCAGAAAGAAAAAGAAGTGCTTGAATATTATGGTCACGTTGTTAAGCAGTTGAATCGACAACAGGCAACCATCGACCTCCTATCTTTCTGTTGCATGAATGAAATAAGGGCCTATTTGTTTAAGCCAAATTTGTAGTCACTTGCAGCAGAACACATTTTGAATTGGTAGAAGGGGATTCAGATAAGTTCAAAGAGAAGCAAGCCTAGAGAGGAAGAATCCCGTCTGGAGGTTGTGACCATGAAACTGCAGCAGTGTCAGGACTGGAACGAAAGCCCAGATCTTGTTATGGCAACTGAAAACTAAACAGATCCCGAAGACACGACTTGTGAGATGACTTATGAGAAGGCACAAAAGGTCACTTCCTCTGCTGATCGGGATGTGATGGTGGAATTTCCAAAAGCGACAAGGAAACCTGTACAGAATGTTAAGGTACAAGATGCGAGGTCTCTGCCAGGCATGGCGGTGCATGCCTGTCATCCCAGCGGCTCCGGAGGCTGAGACAGGAGGATCACGAGTTCAAAGCCAGCCTCAGTAATGGCCAGGGTCTAAGCAACTCAGTGAGATCCTGTCTCTAAATAAAATACAAAATAGGACTGGGGATGGGGATCAGTGGTTGAGTACCCCTGAGTTCAACCCCTGGTACCCCCAAAAAACAAACAAGATGTGAGGTCTCACCATATGGGAAGCTATAAAAGAGTCAGCACTTTTTAGTTTCTACAGTGCTCCAGGCATCATGCCAGAAGATTTAGTGTCCGCCCTGGGACCCTCCCAATGGCCTTGCAGGAGAGCAGCTCACAGTACAGAAGAGAAACGGAAGCCCAGGAAGGCAGGGAAGGGAAATGCCCAAGAATTACAGACTCAAAGCAATCCTGCCCAAGCCCAGCGGGGTCTTTCTTTCCACTTTAAGTTTTTTTTTCATTTTAACATATAAACTAGCAAGCTGATTCTGAAGTTCCTATGCAAATATGAAAGGCTGAAATCTCAAAACAGCCTTCAAAAGGAGCTTAGGAATGAGAGGAGTAACACTCGATTTCAAGAATTATTGTAGTCGGGCCTCAGTGGCCCACCCCTGTAATCCCAGCGACTTGGGAGACTAAGGCAAGAAGATCACAAGTTTGAGGCCAGCCTCAGGCAATTTAGTGTGACCCTGTGTCATAATAAAATAAAAAGGGCTGGAGATGTAGCTCAGTGGTAGAGCATACTTGGTTCCAATCCAATCCTAGTCCAGTACCCCACCCCCACACACACCAAAAAAAATGTATATATGTTTTAATATTATAAAATATTAAAGCCAAGTGCAGTGGTACATGCCTGTCTTCAGAAGGCTGAAGCAGGAGGATCCCAAGTTCAAAGTTGAAGACCTGGGGGCTGGGATTGTGGCTCAAAGGTAGAGCGCTGACCTACCATGCGTGAGGCACTGGGTTCGATCCTCAGCACCACATAAAAATTAAAAAAAAAAAAATGAAGATATTGTGTCCACCTATAACTAAAAAATAAATATTAAAAAAAAAAAGTTGAAGACCTGAGCAATTTAGCAAGACCCTATCTCAAAATGAAAAGCAAAGCGGGCTGGGGATGTGTAGCTCAGTCGTAAAGTGCCTGCCTAGCACGCATGAGACCCTGGGCTCCAGCCCCAAACGGCAATGCATGTTTAATAAAGGACTTGCATCCAGAATATTGAAAGAACTCTAAAACTCAACGACAAGAAGAGAACCCAATTTAAAAGGGGAGGGGTAAAAAAATTTAAAAGGACACAGCACCACCAGGAAGATATAAGCTCATCAAACAAGGCAAATGAAAAGATACTCAACAACATTAGTCATTAGGGAAATTCAAAACAAAAACGAGATACTACTGCATTCCATTTAACATGGCTGAAATGAAAAAGATTGGCCACTCCAAGCACCAGTGGGTGGGTAGAAGTGATGCTCTCGTACATTATGGATGAGCATGCACAACTGCTTTCAAAAATCACTTGGCAATTCCTTTTAGAATGTTATCTATATACTTACCATATTAACCTGCTAGTCCTCTCCTAGGTGACTACCCAGGAGGAAAAGAATGTCTGTTCATACAAACACTCGTACATGAAGCAACAAAAGAAATAAACTATGTGCACAATATGGATGAATCTCAAGAGAATTATAGAGCTGAGGTTGTGGCTCAGCAGTAGAGTGCTCGCCTAGCATGCATGGGGCACTGGGTTCGATCCTCAGCACCACATAAATATAAAATAAAGATATTGTTTCCACCTATAACTAAAAAAAAATAAATATTTTTTTAAAAAGAGAGAATTATGCTAGGTGGGAAAAAATAGATAAAAAGGAGTACCTACTGGATTCCACTTATGTAAAGGTTTAGAAAACATAAACTAATTAGGAACAGAAAGCATATCAGTGGTTATCTGGGTATGAGGGGTTGGGGGTAAGGGAAGGACCATAACCAGGCATAAAGAAACTGGGAAGTGATGTATATGTTCACTCCCTTGATTGTTGTTATTAGTCAGCTTTCCTTTCCTATAATAAATAGATGAGCAAATCAACTTATAAAGACAAAAGGTTTGTTTTGGCTCACACTTGGCCCCACTTTCTGAAACTGTGACAAGATGGCACATTGTGGTGGGAGCACAAGAGGGAGAAAAACCAACTCGCCTCGTGGCCAAGAAGCAAAAGAGAGTGAGGAAGAGACCGGGGTCCCACAGTTCCCTTGAAGGACATGAAGATGTCTCTTTAGGCTTTACAGTCTCCCAAGAACACCACTGTGGGGACCCAGCGTTGAACACATGAACCTTTGAGGGACATTCAGGATCCAAACTGTACTAATGGCTTCATGGGTGTGTGCATTCAATCAAAACCTGAATTGTTTATTGCATGCCAATAATATCTTTTTACCCAATAAAAACCTTTTCTGAAAATACTCAGGAGCACTGAGGGGTGAGAGGGAATGTCAGAACCCTCACCAGATCACCAGGGCTCAAGAGCACAAGCTCTCGCCACCCCCCACAGGCTGCCTCCCTACCCCCAGATGGCCAGAGTCTGTTGGCAGGAGCTATGTGGATGCAAATTACGGCTGGAATAGCTGGAATTCTTCATCTAAATTCCAGGAAATCCAGGGGATTCTGGGCACCATATGAAAATATAAGAGGGAAAATGTGGCTCATTTTCTAAAGAAAAATCAACTGTCTGTGATGAAATCCAGGAACCTCTGCAACATCACCCCACCCCACCCCCCAGGCCTTTTCCTTGGTGTTCCTGGGCTGGGGTGGGTGTTGGAAAGAGAAAGCTCCAGTTCCGCCTGACCACTCCAGTCAGGGTCGGTGCTCACTGAGGCTGGCAGGAGATTCTCCATGGACAATCCAAATAGGTGAGGGACAGGCTGGCCGCAGCCCCAAACTGAAACATAGGAAATTAGACTGTTGGTGGAGGGGGCGTTAGAGCTGTGACCCGAAGGAGACCTGTGTCACTTGCAATTTTTCCTGGTGGCCAGACTGAGCTGAGGGCTGTTCCTAGCAAGCTCTGCTCCGGAGGCCACACCCACACCTCACACCCGGACCCTGACACACACCGACCCTGCCACCCCGGTGGAGGTGGGCACCTCGGCAAATCGATTACCATTGTTCTCCTCACCAGATGGAACTCTATCAGCAGAGTTTATCAATTTGTAACTTGGCCTTGATGTTAGCTAGTCCTTTTCTGTGTCAGACACTGAGCGCCTACTGTATGCCAGGCACTCTTGTAGTCTCTGGGAATCCTGGCTTTGCATTCCAGAGAGGAAAACAGCCCACCAACAGGACCAAAAAAGGGAAGGTACAATGTGTCAGAGGAGGAGCAGGGGACAAGGACAGGGGATAGGGTGTGGGCAGAGCTGGCAGGGGGAGGAGATGGCATCCCACCTTTCTCCTAGGATGGTCCACCCACCCCTGATCTTACAGCAGACCGCAGAGAACCAGGGTTAACTTTGTTGCCCCCCCTCCATGCTGTATTTTTTTTTTAATATTTATTTTTTTAGTTCTTGGCGAACACAACATCTCTGTATGTGGTGCTGAGGATCGAACCCGGGCCACGCACATGCCAGGCGAACGCGCTACCGCTTGAGCCACATCCCCAGCCCCCTCTATGTTGTATCCAGACCCCGTCACATTCTCAGTAGCTTCCTAGTCAGGCCCATCCCGGCCCCGTGACTACCTACTGTTTCAGGCTGCTTATCCCTGGGACCAAGAAAGAGCTAATTACCCCCAGATTTGAGTCCTTTCCTCATGTCCCTACTAAGAACCCCCTCATCTCACCACCTACACTTAGGAAGTTCCTGCCCCACAGTCTCTCATTATTGCTGCTCCATTACCATGCACCTTCCATTTATTCTGGGCTGCTTCTCCACCATGAGCATGTGGCACCCATTCCCATTTCCTTCCTGTGCCAGTTCTCATGGCCTCTTCCCCTAGACGCTCCTCACCTAGTATGCCTTCCTCCAGTTCCAACATCTTTAATGCTCAAAGGTGAAGTTCTCACCCACCTATGTCTAAAATCCTTCCCCTGCCCACATTAGGCCTAGGAACAAGGCCCCCCCCCTTTTCTCCATCTCCAACAGCAGATGAGGTCTGCACCTCATGACTGAGGGGTGTCTCTGTGCCACTGTTGTCTCTGACTGTTGACCTGGTCCCTCCCATGTCCTTTTTCCTTCTGTACCCTTGAAATCCAAGTTGGCACTGAGCACACAAAAGGTGCACCACAGATCCAGCTCATTCCACCCCTAAGAACAAAGCCTTGCTTTGTCCAGATCTCTCCCTTTCCATTGGAGACTTGAAAAAGGTTTGGAAAATTCCAGCATGGGAGTATTCAGCCTTATTTGAGTTGTGCAAGTGGGAAAAAAAAAAATGTGCTTTTCCAAAAAATTAAAAAAATTCCCCAGCCTTTCCTCCCAAAGCAGTGCATAAACCTCTGAGCCCAGTGTGTGAGCTCTCCAGTTTCTTCACCTCCCTAAGGGAGTGAATTGTCCTCCATTTCTACATGGTGTGCACACATGCGTTTGGGGGTGAAGGAGGAGGATGTGGAAGTTAACCAATCTTGAAAATGAAGCATGTAACAAGTGGAAAGGAGTAAGCTTTTTCAAGGAGCGTGTCCCCTGGCTTTCCAGTGTGTAAAGGAAGCCGTGTCTTAACAGTAGAGTGCTCCTCTGATCTCTATTCTTCCTCTCCATTTATCCAAATTCATTCACTCACTCAACAAACACTAACTGAAGGTTAAATGCCAGTTGCAGCCTTAATTGCAATTGCAGCCCCTAACGTGGTTCCCAACACTCCCCATTTCCTGGGACTTCCATCTTGGGGGACCTTCCTCCCTTGAGTTTGCACTGGACCTACTTAACTGGCTTCAATGAAGAGACCTCAGAGAAAGTGCTGGAATGCCAAGGCCAACATTGAGTCCAGAGACAGTCCCTTCCTTCTTGTGCGCTCGCTCTCTCTCTCTCTCTCTCTCTCTCTCTCTCTCTCTCTCTCGCCTACCGTCTTCTATGCAGTCAGTTGCCATGTTGTGAGCTGCGCTATGAAGAACCCCGAGTGCCAACCTGCAGTGCAGAATCTGCCAATGGTCAGCAAGGAACCGAGGTGCTCAGTCCAAACAGCCTGAAAGAATCTGAATCCTGCCAACAGCACATGAGCTTGGAAACAGATTGCTAGGGTTTGGATGTGTCCTCCAAGGGCATGTGTTGAAAGCTTAATCCCAGAAGCCTTGTGGCATTGGGAGAGGATCCTAATGAGAGGTGCAGAGTCACGAGGGTGCAGCCCTGGTGAGTGGATCAATGTCACGATTGCAGGATTAGGTTAGTTACCACAAGAGCAGGTTATTATAAAAGTGAGTCCTCCCTCAATGCTTTCTCTTCTGCACACGCTGGCTTGCACCTTCCCCTTCCGCCATTTAACATGAGCACAAAGACCCTTCCCAGTTGCAGGAGCCATGCCCCTAGGCTTCCCAGCTGGAGGATCTATGAGTTAAGTAAACTTATTTTCTTCATAAATTTCCCAGTCTGTGGTCTGCTGTTATAGCAACAGAAAACAGACTGACACTCAGATTTTCCTCCATTTGAGTCTTAAGATGAGACGGTAGCCACAGCCACCACTTTGCTGGCAGCCTAGTGGGAGATGCTGAGCCATAGGTCTCGGCTAAGCAGCATCCGGATTCTGACGGACTGTAATGTGATGTAGTAAACACTGCTTTAAGCCATTAAGTTTTGGGGTAGTTTGTTTTGAAGCAATAAACATGACATAGGATATATGTCATTTGACAATTATGTGCCGGGAGCTCTTTTTGACCCTGGGGACACAGAAAAAGTAAACATACCTATCCCTTCCCTCATGTAGCTAACTATCTAGTGAGAAGACTTTGGCAGATGATCGATAAAACGTGATGGCCTCAATGGTCTGGGTGAGTCCCTTAGTCTCCTAAATTCATATGTCAGAAACTGAATCTCCAATGCAACAGTATTGGGAGGTGCAGCCTCATGGAAGTCCTTTAAGCCATGAGGGTGGAGTCCTTCTGAATGATGGGAGAGGCTTCTGTCTCCTCTGCTCTTGACCACCCCATGGGGACACAGTAAGGGAGTCCAGCTTCTTGATATTGGACTTTCTCGCCTCCAGTACAGTGAGAGAAACCATTTCTATTCTTTATATATTACCCAGTCTCAGTTATTTTGATATAGCAGCACAAAACAGGTTAAAACAAGGACAGAGGGGGGGCTGGGGCTGTAGCTCAGTGGTAGAACACTTGCCTAGCATGTGTGAGGCACTGAGTTCCATCCTTAATACTATATAAAAATAAACACATGAAATAAAGGCACGCTGTTCATCTACAACTACAAAAAAAAATAATAATAACAATAAATAAGAAGAAAAAAAAAGGACAGAAAAAAATGAAGCCTGAAGAGGAGTGGGGAATGGATAAGGGTTCCTGGTGAGTGGTTGAGGTGGAAGTGACAGAGGTTGTGTCTTTAAACAGGGCGATCAGGAAAGGCCTTCAAGCGGTGATGTCAGAGTGAGCCATATGCTGTTTAGGCAAAGAGTCTCCCACGTGGATGGAACATTCTAGAATAAGCTTTTGTTTTACTTGGCAACGTAAAATTTAGAGATGGGAGGGCTCTTGGCTTGCCTTTCTATCTTAAAAGAAAGCAACTAAACACTAGCAACCCATCGGAAATGCATTCAAACTTTCCTCCTGTCCCCAAAGAGAGCTCAGAGGCCAGATGGGGTACGCTGCGCTTCCATGGGGTCAGTTTCTACAATTCTCAATATAGGCAGTTAACTCACCTTGGCAGCTGGGATTTCTGTGATTTTTAGAAGAGAAAAGAAGCTGCCCTTCTGGTCCTACTGTCTGCCCTGGCGTAGCTTTCCTGTCTGACTTGGAATGGGAGACCTGGGGGCTGGAGAGCTGGGACCCCAGCCGGAGGCACACCCTCTGGAGGAGACTTGAACTGTCGGGTTCACTTTTCGATCCTCTGTGTTACCAGTTCACATTGGGCCAGACTCCCCAACCACCCACCCCCTCCCCCACCCCGACCCTGGATCTCAGAAAGTGAGTGGCTGTCCAGAGGTGGTCAGAGCCAGGGCCGTTGATGACTATCGCTGCTACCCACATGGGCCTTGAGGCTTATCTAAAGAGTACAAGCAGAGAGCCACTTATAAAATGTTTTTGGTCAATTGTTATATTGTGTGTATAAACGAATATGTAACAACAAATTCTACTCCTATGTATGATTATAATATGCACCAAGACAAAATGTGAGTGGAGCTGCCCTTTGATAAAAATAGTTCTGACAAATTATTCTAATGTGAGAGAAAACAGAGGTTGGGTTAGACTCAGCAATTCTTACCCCGGTGGCCCATGCTGTAATTGTCACCCAAGCGATTCAGGAGGCTGATGCAGGAGGATTGCAAGTTTGAGGCCAGCCTCAGCAACTTGGTGAGACCCTGTTTCAAAATAAAAATAAAAAAGGACTGGGGATGTGGCTCAGTGGCAAAGCACCCCTGGATTCAATCCCCAGTGCCAAAAAATAATAAGAGACTCAGTGATTCTCTCCTTCACACCACGGTGCTTTGCCACCATGTTGTGAAGGTGGACATGGAGACCCCAACACCACAGAATGCTGATTTGTACTAGGAGATGCTAAGAGCAGCTGCCCTTCGAAATCCTATAAGAGTCAGATCCGACCCTTGGGTCACTCACTGCCTGTGACTCCTGCCAAACACTGGCTTTACTAGATACCTCTCATAGCCAAGAAAGAGGATGTGAGCTTTCCACCCAGCCTAGGTCACCCAGCTCTTCACTGTGTCCTCTCCTGGAATAAGAGTGCTCTACTTCTGTCCACAGGAAGGAAGGATAGGAAAAGGCACATTCCAGCCATTAAAAATGGGAACTTCTTTTTTTTTTTTTTTTAATCAACAAACCCACCTTGAGGAAACACTTATGGGACAAAAGAAAAATGATCCCAAAGGGCAGCGTGGAGATGCCCAAAGGAACAAGGAGCAAGGATGTGTGTGTGGTGTGTGTGGCTGGGTGTGGTGGTGCATGCCTTTTCTCCTAACCACTCAGGAGGCTGAGGCAGGAGTATCCTGGGTTCAAAGCCAGCCTCAGCAACCATGCGGTGCTAAGCAACTCAGTGAGACCCTGTCTCTAAATAAAATACAAAATAGGGCTGGGGATGTGGCTCAGTGGTCGAGTGCCCCTGAGTTCAATCCCGGGTACCAAAAGAAAAACAAAAAACAAAAAAAAACATGAACTCAAAAGCACTAGATGAGAGAGAGAGTGAGATAAAGTGTTCTAAGTCTTTCCCTTGCACTGTAGGGTGGAAGAAAGTGTTCATTTAACAAGTCAAGCTCTCAGGTGACCACTAAAAAAAAATAGAGGAAAGAATAACTCATAAGCTTAGTAGGATGAACAATAAAAAACTACTAAGTCCAAAAGAGAGCAAGAAAAGAGGGAAAAGAAATGTAAAACAAGTAAAATTTTAAAAAAACAGTAAGATAGTAGATTTAACTCCAAATATATTAATAATTTTATTAAATATAAATAGGCTAAAAGTTCCAACTGAAATCAAAGATTGTCAGACTGGATTTTTTTTAAAAGAATACTGATTCAAGGACATTCATTCACCCGTTTTCCTGGCTCTCCTTAAGCTTTGCCTTCTTACTCCGTGGAAGACAAATTTGATAACTGGAGCTGCAGTGTTTATCTTACAACCATGAGGCTACTTGAGTGTGAAGCTGTGGCCAGAGGATGGAGAAGCAGGAAGAGAAGAAGAATCCGAGACACTGAAGACTTTACGGTGCTACCATACCAGCCCCAGCCTGCCCACCTGCTCACTCGATGCTTAAAAAAAAAAAAAAAAAAAAAAAACTTGTTTAAGTTCAAATCACAATTTGTGTAATATCTGATGTTCATGACCAAACACAATTCCAGATACACAAGCTCAGGACAATATATCTGCAAAAGCCACTGATTGTCAGATACTAACCTTGCCCAATTAAAGCCAGTGGGTTGTACCACATAAAGCCTGTAAGGAGCACATTGTCACCTGACCGCAAGAGAAGAGGCCATTGGACCAATCAGATCACAAGGAAGTTTTATTTTTGTAAAACTTTTTCTTTTTTGGGGAAAAAAAAAAACCCTAACATGCACAAAATGTTGTAAATCTGATGTCAGCAAAAAAATAAGATAAAATTTCTCATATTTCTAGCTGCATTTGGAAAAAAAAACTTTTTATTTTGAGATAATTTTATATTCACATACAATTATAAGAAATACACAAAGATCCTTTGAGCACTTTTTTAAAATTTGCTTTTTATTAGTACATTATGATGATACATAATAGTGGGATTCATTATGCCATATTCGTAGGAGCACATAACAGATCACAGGGAACCGCCATTGATTTGGACTGGCCTTGGGCCTACACCATTAAGTGACCACTTCTCACACCTACAGAAATACTGCTGTGCTACCTTACAAGCAACAATGAGATGAGCGGTTTCCTCCGGGCAGCCACTAATCATAGAACAGCTTGGATCTACGTAGATGTCCGAGGGTTCACTCCACACACAAACATTTACAGAACATTTGCCATGTACTAAATACTGTCCCAGCCATCGGGGATACGGTATTGAACAAAATGGGTAAGACTCTTGGGCTACATGAAAAAAACAATTAATAAGAGAAAAAGAAAAAAAAAAGAGAGAGAGAGAAATAGTGTGTAGAACAACAATAAGTTGATGTGGGGGGGCTGGGGCGAGAGAAAGGGATCAAGGACTGGGGCAGGCTGACGTTTCATTAAAGTGATAAGGGAAGTTCAATGTGATGTTTGATAATGACCTGAATGGAGTCAGTGGAAGACCAAAAACAATGGGAAAAGTTCGTGCCCAAGCCGAGGACAGAGTCCAGGATGAATAAAACTTATCTCCAGGAATGGCTTTGGCTGGGGCTGCTGCTTGCTTGGCATGGCCCTGAAGTCTTTGTTAGGGGAACCTGGCACTGGGGAGATCCCGCTGCAGTGGGGAGAGGTGGGACTTTAAAGAACCGTTCCATAGAAAGGGTCATCATGAAGCATGTTCTGGATGTCACTGGATGGATGGCTCCATCAATGCTCCCAACCTTGTGCCGACCTTGAGGTAGGGACTGTTAGGATGCTTCTTTTTTCCTGCACAAGCTGCGAGTTAGGTTAATCTTTTTGTCCAAGATGGCAAAGCCAGTGAGCAGGTGGGAGTCTTTCCCAGGCAGGTGGACTCAGCCCCTCACACAACCAGGCATTCCCGTCTCTAGCAACTGCCCGCCAGGCCAACACCCAAAAGCAGTCGGATCTGAAGGAGTTCCACCAGCTCAGAAGCAGAGAGAAAGGACCCAAAGGAAGACTTTGCCCTTCTTGGAAGTCTAGGCCGAGTGCTTCCCTCTTCCTCTGACTTGGTATTGTAAGGGGGCATTGTGGGTCCAGGAGACCGCTGGCAGTTGCAGGTGTGGGGGACAATGGGCCGGCCAGGTCCCACTATGAAGGGCTTTGCAGTGGCAGAGGAGAAGTTGTCATCTTTGTGTTCCCCATGCCATCCCCTCACCTGCTCTCCATGCACACTCCTCTCTAGACCTGCCTCCTTTAGCCCTTGTCCCTGTGGAAATGCTTTTTGTGCCTCCAAAGGAGAGGGCCTGGAATGTGCTGGGATAATAGATCTCCCAGGGAACCCCATCTGGAGCAGGATCACCAGCTCTGCCAGCCGCTCACCATCAATAAGACCTTTCAGCCACAGGGTCAGCAACAGGGACTGGACCCCAGCAGATGTGAAGACACATGATTGGGGGGCTGGGGATGTGGCTCAAGCAGTAGCGTGCTCGCCTGGCATGCGTGCAGCCCGGGTTCGATCCTCAGCACCACATACAAACAAAGATGTTGTGTCCGCCGAAAACTAAAAAAATATATATATATATATTTAAAAAAAAAAAAGACACATGATTGGGTCCACCCCAGATTTCAGATTCTTCTTTCTGAAGGGCAGAGCCAGTGAGTTCCCTGGGAAGTCTTCAGAAGAGAGACCCAAAGTCCTTTTCCTTCCTCCCACTTATTGTGTCTTCAGGGCCAGGCCCCATGAGGGGCGCTTTTCATCCTCACAACAAAAATCCACGAGGAAAAGTCCAGGAGGAGACTGAGGAAGAGAGAAATCACAACAAAGGCAATGCAGGCTCCTGACCTGGGGTCTTCGTCTCTCTCTCCTCCCTCCATTGTCCCCTTTCTGATCTCTTAATCCTCTCTCTGTCTCCTTTCTTCCTTCTCTTTCTTCTTTTCCTCTTTTTCTTTCTTCTCTGTATTAAATGATTCAATAAATATTTATGGCCAGGCGCGGTGGCACGCGCCTATAATCCCAGCCGCTCAGGAGGCTGAGGCAGGAGGATCTCGAGTTGAAAGCCAACCTCAGCAAAAGTGAGGCACTCAGCCATTCAATGAGACCCTGTCTCTAAATAAAATACAAAACTAGGGCTGGGGATGTGGCTCAGTGATCGAGTTCAATCTCTGGTACCCAATAAATGAATAAATAAATAAATATTTATACATCGATTGTTAGATCCCTACCCTGTGATTGGCACGGGGATCAAGCAGCAAAGACAAAGTCCCTCCCCTTCAAGTCCACATCAACTGGGGATAGACTGACCATAAAGAAATAATCAAAAGCATAGAGTAATAGGTGGCAGTGGAGGAGAGGCTGTGTCAAGTGTGTTGTTAGCCAGCCCTGAGCCATGGGGAAGGGGAAGGGCGATGAGGGTGAAACTTACAGAAAGGAAACCAGACATATGCTCCAAGGAGAGTCCACAGGTCACAGGACTGGGGATGGTAGGAAACGTTATCAAAGCAGGCCAGCATCAGGACACGGGAGCTGGAATGTCCAACCATTCCCAAGCCACAGAGAGTTATAATCCCTTAAGGAAAGTATTACGTAAAATCATAGGAACCTTATCAAAGCAGACAAGCTTCAGGAAAATGGGCCCAGAACTTTCCCCCCAGTCATGATTCATTATAATTCCTTAGGGGAATGACTGGTTCCAGACCATATTACCACTATCTCTTGTGACTAGATCACCAGGACTCTTCTTTATCACCAAAACCAGATCACCACTACTACTGTGACTGAGTCATCAGGATCCTCACATAGAAACTTACTAAGGGTTTGTGGCTCAGTGGTAGAGCACTTGCCTAGCCTGTGTGAGGCACTGGGTTCCATTCTCAGCACCACATGAAAATAAATAAATAAAAGAAAGGTCCATTGACAACTTATATATATATATATATATATATATATATATATATACACACCTTAGAAGTGAACCCTGTGGCTCTAGTCAGTGTTTTGGATAACGGCAGCCCAACCAACAGCATAACTTCAGGCTCCTGACAAAGTCCATGTGAGAGGCCAAACTGCTCTCAACTTCTGTCCAC